TTTTATAAAGAAGCAACGCCTTTGCAATGGTATAAGGCTAAAAGTAAACAAGTAAAAAAGCTGTAAGTTCGGCCGAACCTGCACAGACAATCTTCTGTCGTAGGCTGTGGTATGCATTACGGACTTCAAATACCAAATTTGAACCAATTCCGGCGAATAATGTCTGTAACTAATCGGGAGGTACCGTTTTATGGGGGCTGTACAATATCGTGAACCTACATAGTCCATTTTCAATACCAAAAGTCCTGCAGACATAATATACATTTGAGTAAAATTTTATCAACCTACTTTATTTCGTTCGGAAGCTAGAGTGATTTTCACCGATTGACAGATGGATAGACGGCGGGTCATCTCTAAATCAACATAGAAGTTTATGCTGATCAAGAATACATACACTATGTGGGGTCTAAAATGTATATTTCGCGGTGCTACAAACGGAATGACAAACTTAATATACCCTCCATATTATGGTGGAGAGTATAAAAACTACACAAAAATTTAATTGAGAGTGTGATTATAACTGGAAAGTATGTTGCTACCTCGAATTCTCTTATTACAACATAAATGCCTTTCAACTTCAAAAGATTGCAGTTTCAGGCACGCTTGGCATTTGATATGAAATTAATAAATCCGAAGGACAATCCCTTCGTGTATGCGGACTAAATTTAGCATGTTCCTGCTTTTCTCATGTTCTGTTCCTGGTATGTTCACGCGTTATAAGACCGAGCTATTTGTTTGTTTAAAGTATTACAATAATAACGTAACGTCAAAGTATTACAATAACAAAATTTTTTGAATTTGTTTTATTTATATTTTTTAACCAACAAATATTTATATATTAAATGTTGAATGCATATAAAAGCGAAAGGAGTAGCGAAGCGCGCCGGTATCAGCTAGTTCTATTATAAATGAAGCTGCAGCTCCAAGTAGCGAATTCAGACTCTTAGAAAGCAAAGTTGAGGATAATAAAAACTGTTTAAAAAATTAGGACCAAGATTTATATCAACATCTGTACAAATTTGTCGCTCATGTATTATAATTTTTCACAGCAACGCTTGTGGGAAAGAATGTTGTCTAAATTAGGACTAACGAAAACAAAAATTAATTAATGGGTTAAAGTATAAATATATGGGTACATGTTATAAGCTCTAGATTTACTAAATGATGAAATAGAGTTATGAAAGCCCATTGACCTGTTCAAAAATACAGAAACGGATTTTTAAAAAAGTGCAATTAGAATTTATAATATTGTCAGACCACTTTTTTAATTAAATTTTTGTTAAGTTTGACTTTGCTGAATGAATAACCTTAAAAATTTTTTATTGAAAAAAATTCTGTGCAACTTTTTAGCAGTAACACTGATTAGAACTAGACCGAGTAGTTGTCCAAATACGCAAGTTGTCGTATTTTGCTTTTACTTCTAAATTTTCAATAGATTTACCAAGAAATAAAATAATCGATTTTGTAACTTCTTGGTGAGAATTAACTAAAAATAGAAAATCGAAACTAAAAAACGTTGATCCTTGCAAACTTTTAAGTTCGTATTCGATTTTCTTAACCAGTTGTTGTTGTTAAACACTAAGAAAATCGAACGAACGTAACACTTCTAATATCTATCGTTGCTGATACCGAATAAAGCAATGTTTTTTTCAGGAATTTCTCCTCTTACATCATTTGGAAACAATTGAATTCATTGATCTAAATTTCCATATAAATATACAGATGAGATAAAAAAAACTGCAACAAAGAATTTTACATTTTTTTAATTTTGTTGAATGAAAGCAAAAAATGTCGGAAATAGCATTAAATTTTAGAATAAGTTTAGATTTGTTGTAATTGGTCACCTTTGGCACGAATTATGGCCTTCAAACAACCAATGAAACCGTCACACGCTGCCCGAATGTTGCTCTGCGGTATTTTGACCCATTCCCGGCGAAGCGCTTGCTTGATGTTATCGACACTTTGATATTTTTTAGTGCCAACCTTGCTTTCCAAAATACTCCAGACACAATAGTCCAACGGATTGGTATCTGGAGATTTTGGTGGCCATTATGCGCTGGAAATGAAGCGAGAAACCTCATTTTGTGACCATTCTTGCTGAGTGCAATGGTCCTGAGCCCTGTTAGAATGTCCAAGGTCTGCGGCAAGAATGTTTGCGTGTCCAAGGCTTTAATACACCCTCCAGAATATTTTCGCGATAATATTCGGCATTAATTCTGATGCCAAGGTCGATGAATACGAGCGGAGAGCGACCATCAGCTGCTATGGCAGCCCACACCATCATCATGGCCGACGCTTGAGTTCTGATGGCCAACCGAAGGTGCACATTTTCAGCTGACCTCTTTGGCAAGTAAACACGATCATTTTGTTTGTTTACAAACTGCTGGACAACGAATGCTTCCTCATCGGAGAAAACCAAATTCGGCACTTCGCCACTTTCGGCCAAGCGAAGCAACTCTTTAGCTTTTTTTAAGTCTAATTTCTTTCTGTTGTAAGTGTAAGTAAGGTGTAAGGTGTAAGTTCTTGCACTTTTTGGAATTCCAATGGCTTTACCCAGAGCTCATTTTTCAGTATTTGTCGAATGGAATGTTGCGATATGTTCAGCTCACAAGCCACTACTTCCTTGACGTCGGGTACGCCACCAGTATCACGGTAACGAGCAATGGTACGAGACACAAAAGATTTATTCACATTTAAATGCTGGAGTGCTCTAACGATTGCGGTTTTCCATCCAAATATAAAGAAATCACACTATCATGCTTTAATTTCATCACAAATAACTTTTTTTCTGGAAAATTCTCACCAAAATGCTTTTGTACGCTTGTAAACAATATAATGAGCTGCCACTGAAGTTGGTTGCAGTTTTTTCATCTCACCCTGTACATTTATAGAAATTCATCTATGCTCTATTTCGTTTAACAAATAATTATTATTGATGATCATACCGAGTTTATTAAAGTACCTTAATACATTTATTCATGATTTTACGTTTCAATTGATATATTGAAATTCAGAACAATTTATTTTATGGCCATTTTATTATCTTGTTTAATAATATGAATGTCATCTTTACAGCCAATATTAGCCAGTTGTTTTGGACGTTTTTGCTTATTTTTTGTGGTAGGTTTCAAAAGTTGAAATTATAATGCGATTTTTTACGAAAAAATATTAAAATCTATGTGTGACGGTTGTTGGTAAGCACTTCCCAATGCAGTTTTTTCAGTTACATGATATTTTCCACTTTATATAATGCAGAAAAACTGCTTAGCAAAATGCATTTACTTTCAATTTGAGTTTTTCTTTTGTTATTTTGACAGCTCACAAAAAAATATGACATTGTTGCGGTATTTTTATTATTGTATCCTAATTGCTATCATCGAGCATTCAATAATATGTTTTACCTTATGTTGTTTACTTTTTCTTGGCGCCCCCAATTACCTCCAGCTACAAAGTCATAAACAAACTTTCCACGAAAAACACACGAAATTGAGGGGAGTTTGTGTGCTTTTATTCTGCTACAAAAGTTTTTTAGGTCACGCTCGTATTAAAAAGAAACTACCGACGATTGTTCACCATTGAAAGGCATAGCCTAGTAGAATTTGTATAGGGAATGGAATCTATATAGAAACATGATATAGATTATTTGATAACCTCGAACTTGTTACTTCTTTAATTTTCGATTTTTAAGGATTACAATTAATGCATAAAGGTGAGAATACATAAACGCTTTTTTTACTGTCTTAAGTCATCGGGTGGCTTCATCGGAAAAAGTCAATGGAGCGTAGGACCAAAATCGAACTAAGTCAACATTAAACTCCTCTATGAAGAAGCCAGTCAGAAAAGCAATTTATGTATTCCCTCCTTTTTTAGGATAGAAAATTTTATGAAAAGAATCCAGAAAAATCGCGGAATTGAAAAAATCTAAAGTTGGTTTTCGATATGGTATTTTGTGTGGAATTGTTCCGGAATCGCCTGTTGAATGGAAAAATTTAAAATTCTTAGTGGAAAACCCGGAAAGTTCCAAAAAAATTGCAAGATTTGATTTTGGAGGATGTAAGTCAAAAAATTCGTTCTGAAACTTAGCAAATTTAGAAATTCATAATTGAATTGTATTTGAACCGCATAGTCGTAAGTTGCGTATTACCATCAAATTCAATGTGATACTTAAATAATTCATAACTATGTGAGAACATTAGATTGCGTGTAAAAATTGAGATTATCCAAATGGCTTGCTGACATTCATTGTGAAATATTCATTACGTATGAATGATTATTTGAATAGGTTTCAACAAACGTCTCTGTTGTTTTAGAAAAGTTTTTTTGCTGGACTAATGCCTCCTACTAGATGGGCAGACTTTCGATGACGTACTTGCCGTGCAATAATTAGTCCATGATTTTCAAAACTACTACACGTTTCTCCACGGTAATCGAAAGAAAACCTATTTGTCGAACAGTGTTGGCTTGTTTTTTGGGATACCATAGTATTTTGTTGTTGCAATCTGGTCAGGCTTAATCCCTTCATTGTTGTTTTTATAAAAACAACGTTTGTTTATTATGTCGAATATACAAAAATATAACGTATATTTTGAATTTTTACGCAACGCCTGGACAGATCTAAACAATCGTATAGTAGGGTGATTAATACCGAATAAGAACTTCACAAATATAATTCTAGACAATTCTATTGTAATGCCCAACCGACTTAATTCATTATTATACCAAATTTCTGTCATATTGATTGGTACCTATTATGTATTTTATATACCTATTTCTAAACAATTCATTAAAAATATGGCTGAATCGTTAAAATATATGCCTTCTTATGGCTGTAATTTTAATTATTATATCTTTTTAACATTACGTAACATATAACAAAGTTTTTAAAAGTGTATTTAGTAAATTAAATACTGTGGCAATATGTCGTTAAAATCATAATAGATCTGTCAATTTCTTATTCAAAGAATTTTACAAATATGCATAACTTATATACAAAAACTTACCCATCATATACGCGACATGTTGAGTTATTTATTCTTTTATCGGAAAATCTCCGTCGACGATCCTCAAATAAATCTTTAACAGCAGTTACTCCCAAAACAAAAAGAACAGGTATCATAGCCACTTCTTTGCCAAATGCATTGATGGCGGGAAACCAATTAAGTAAAACAATGAAAATAAAATACAAATTTGCTACACGATGGAACTGTTCGAGCAAATTCTTCGGTATGAACGAGAGCAGGGTATACTTTGTAGTGCGTATTTTATTACCCACAAAGTGGCCATTCGGATGATCACGTTTTGGAGTTTTCGGCGGAACTGTATGATTTGGCACTACAATACGATAAGCTCGCTCTTCACATTTTTCTGCCCGACACATACTGATACGTTTCCACCAGGGTGGTGTTTCAGAGCGCCGCAGGGTATATATCGATTCGGAACGGGAAGCCTGCCTAGAATGACCGCGACCCGCAGCGGATGATGGTGCGGATGGACCGAATTCACGAGTCTCATTTTCCTCCTTGTGACCAGGGGGCAAAATAAAATCAGTTTTTGAGCCTACTCGACTATGTCCCCTTGGTGTATTTGTCGCACCAGGTGAATCCGTAATCTGACCTTGTGAAAAAGCCCTTTGGTGACCTTTCAACGCCGATTTGATAGGACGACCTGTAGGACCCACGATTGCACCACCACCATGACTAACGGAACGAGCATGCCCCCTGCCCGTCGCTAACGTAACACCCAACGTATTAGGAGCAGGGTTGATGACTGCTACTCCGGGTATACCCGTTGCTGTACTACCGACGGTATTTCCTCCTAGCCCTCCCGGTCCTGGAAATACATATGTTCTTTCGGGTTCTTGGACAGTTAAGAATCCCGTTGTTGTGTGGTTCAAGGGTATAGATGAGGCGTTTAAAGGGTCGTACACTGATGTCAAGTTCGAAGCAACTACTGCTCCTGGTGCTGAAAATCCCGGTGGTGCTGATCTTTGTTGTTGAACAACCGTGAACTTTCGCCTCAACTCTTCGGTATTTGCAGAAGGCATTTTCACAAGACACCATTAGTTTCAAAAAATGAAATTAATTTTTTTTTTATAAAACGCACACACAATCAACGACAACTATGCTCTTTCACTGCGTTTTAGCAGGTTTTAAGTATTAAGAACACATTTTTATTATTCGTATAAGACTGCATGCATAAAAACCTATAAAATAGAAAAAAAAAGAATTAAACCAATATATTCATGTATTAAGCAAAAAAATATCTATATTTTTTTAAAAAAATGTTGGACGTTGCCTCCTACACAAAGTGAGACAAAGGTAATACAACAAAAAATTAAAATTTGCAAAAGTGTGTGAGGTCTGGCAATTCTATCTGCCCGTCGGAATAAGGTTGCAATTAAATTTACAAATATTATTCAGACATTTGACCCTATAGCGAAAAACTTTTTTGAGAAACTTGGAAACTGTCCATTTGTAATGGATCGAAAGATTATGGACCACTTCCTCAACCTACCCTTTGGATATTTTGTTTTTTTTTTTTTTAAGATAAAAAAGTTCTTAATAAGAGATTCAATTTTCACATACTACACGAGCAGAGATCTTATACAGCACTTTAAATTTCAATAAGTAGGTGTCGAACACTCTTTTAAAATTTTGTCTCCCCAGATATAAATATCCAACCAGTTTCTGAGATATTGGAATTTAAACGGGTCAATACAGATTCATAAAACTAATTTACAAATGACGGGAAAAAAAATATTAGCACACGCTTTTATTACGCATTGTGAAACACATATTCTTTGTCCCAATTGCTTTCTTGGGCTTTGTCAAAAACTTCCCGTTGCTTGGCAAAAGTACCATCTATGTTTCAGCTTCGAAAGAGCCATTTGTTGTCATTCTAGGAACAATCCCCTTTTATCTTTCTTCCTCGCTACGTTTCTAGCTGTACAAGTTGACAACAATGATTCAGGTGATTCAAGACTTATTTCAATGTTTATGATACTCGATTTAAAAAGTACCCAAAGTTCTAATGTACTATGTTTGCTAATAACCCTATTAAATTAAGCAACATATTTATTATTTTTTAGGAATTATGATGTGTTCATAATTAGAATTTTTATTTATTATGTAACGTAATTTTTCGATTTAACGAACTATATAATGTCAGCCATATTCGTTATATTGACGCATTCGTTAAACCGAGTACACCTAAGTCGGTTTTTACACGGTAGATTGGTTCCAGAAGAAGCCGTGTTAAAAAAACGTGTAAAAAAAGACATTGATCTTATACAAAAATGGGTTATTTGTTCCTAATCTCTAAAACCTATTAAAATTAGTGAAAAACAAGAATTTTTAAGAACAAGAATTCATGTTTATATTATTAAATCAAATATATAATGCTTATTTTCACAAGCATAGTAATTAATGATAAAAAGATATGCACTCTAATCTAAAAAGTAAATGTATGGCAAGTTCAGGAACTAAAAAACTATGTTGTGAACGAAAAGAATAGGTAAAAAATAAAATAAAATTGAATATCGATACTATCGATGGTTTCAGACCTTTTTTCTTTCATAAATACTTTTTTGTGATAAGAACATACTTCTCAAAAATTAAATTTGACAAAAAAATTTAAGTGCATAAAATTTAAAATCGTGCTAAATGGAATAAAATCGTGTAAAAAATTAAAAGTATTAAATTTTCAAAACGTGTTATATCAAAACCGTGTACGAAAAGACCGTGTAAAAACAGACTTAGGTGTACTCAAAAGCTATTGAAACAACAACGCTTATAAGCTTTGGACAATGCATTTAGTATAGTTTAGAACCAAGTTACCAATAAAATAAATGGAATTGGTATGTACTTTTATTGAAATCTTGCTGGGAATTGTATTTTTAAAGAATAACTTAACCGAAGGAATTCATATAAAATCCTACAAAATAATAACTTTTAGTTTTTTCTTTTTTTTTTTTTGAGATATGCTAAAACAACTATATTTTAAATGACTTCAAAGAAAAAGATTTTAATTTTTGTTTGTATTTTTGCTACTTGCAGCGTTTTTTGTATCTCCTGTTCTTAAAGTTCTTTCTGTGTCAGTGATTTGGTGGCATATATATTATTTTGTTGCACCTATTGTATGATTAATTCTCGGTTTCTGAAGGAATGTTGTATTCAATGTTAATATCAGTTTCGACACCAAACAAAGCACAGAGCTATTAACAGTGGCACAATTGTCCTCGTTCAATTCACAATCAATATTTTTTCTTTGTCCATCGCTGAGTACTCTAATTTAGCTTTTGTTCGCTTTTTTTTTTTTTGGTTTACAAATCGGAAATCTATGATATATAAACATATGTATTTTGACTCCATTCGATTTTCCCAAACCTTTAATAGAAAAAAGCAAATAAATAAAACCTTTTTAAATTTATTTATTTATTATTATTTTTTGTTATAATTATAATCTCTACAAAATCGCAGTTGTTTTTACGTACTTTTTTATTAAATCTAAATAGGAATCCACAATGTCTATTTTTGTTACTGAATCTGTTAGGTCTGTTCAACTGTTGAATAAACACTTATTTACTTTTTATGCAAATTACTTCCGTTGTAATTCGCTTGCTGTCGACCAAGACATATTTGTGCTTTGAATAATGTGTAACGGCACCCTACAATACAAGAATTAATATGGAACAGTACTCTTGGACGAGCTATATTGTATAAACATTGTGTCAATGACACTTTCAAAATTTTCTGAAATTCGGGTTATTTATTAGTAAAAATTTATATAAATTAAAAACAAAGTGGTCCCACACAAAAATAAACTGAAAGTTATTTATTTATATGTCTGAAAATGGAACAAACACAATGAAGTGCAACTTACGAATATGAGGGACTTAAATACAAATTCGGGTGAAACATATATATGGCTCCTATTTCTATATCTGAACAGATTTTCAAAATTTTAAATACTTACTTCTAGGCTGTATTCGATAGCCTGTGCCAAACAAATGATTTGTAGAAAATCATCTTAAAGGGACAATAAACGCGGCCTTTACTTGGTTTACAAAAATACATGGACAGACGAACGACTCGGAATGTCATTCTATGAAGATCATCAAAAGAACTATGGATGTATTTCGTATCATTCTGCATGTTACAAACAAATGTACTAAGACATAAATCCCTATACCGCAGGGTGGAGAAGTTTATAAAAAATATCAACCAATAGACTTCTCAAAAATGACTCAATGGTTTCCTGGGGACCAGATGCAACAATTTAGCTTGTTGGGCTACGACAGTGTAAATGACTCAAGATGATTTTCCACAGGACACTTTGGGCTATAGCGGCAATATTTTTATGTTTATGCTATTCACATCACATACTTGTCCCAAATTCTGTATTGCGGTAGAACCTACAATACTAGATATACTAAATATTTTCCGTCATACTTGATTAAGATATGAAGTGCTTTAAACATTCTAATAATTGGAGGGTACCGTTATATAGGGACTATTCCAAAATAGTTTACCAATATTGCAATTTTTGGAGAATTTGGCTAGATAACTTACAGCTAATTTGATTTCAAATGGGTTCGATTTTATGCTGAACTAGAATATAATCTTAGTGGCCTCGGATACGTGTTTTATTTTTGCATGTTGCAAGTTGCAAAATGCTGTATACCTAGTGTACACTTGCATTTTGATTTCAATTTCAAAGGGATGTTACTTTTACAATAAAACTCTTTTTTCGGTTCTGTTTAGATAATTTATTTTTTAAGAGTTTCCTTATACGACGCTATTTGGATGTTGTTATTGTATGAATTTTCGACAATCCTGATTCTGCACTTTGATGGCTAGACATTTTAGTTTAAATATCTTCACTCCTATAAAAACACCTCTGTAACAGTATGAATGCATGCAAACAATGTTGCATTGTTGTAAAACAAAAGTAACAAAACCACATACATATTGGTTTTTGCACATAGAACAATAGTCAGAGTTATATGTCCAAAAATGTAAACTAATCCATTAATTTTCTATAAATTATTTAATTTCAAAAATGTTCATTTTTGGAATTTGGATTGCTAAATTGAAATTCAGAAGAACAGTTCTTAAAATATTTGATTTTAATGCTTTCATATCATTCCGCTAAATGTATTGTTGTTAGCTGTAGGTGCAAACCTCTCAACACTCCAAGCAATCGCTAGAAAATCGTGGAAAATATATCTTTAAAATTGGAACCTAAATTCATGTATACATAAAGTATTCTATATTTTGCAATTTTAGTAAAAATGAAATATACGAATATTACCTAATGTTGTGTAGCTGTCCCTTAACAGCGAAAAAAAATTTCCGCACCATCACCGTTGGTGTTTTGTTGAGTATAACAGCGAATTTTCTAATATTAGGCAAAAAATAACATCACATTGCCCCTATATCAAGAAATGGAATTAAATCACAAAACGTCATATTGAATTTGACACTAGTATTACTATAGAGTCAGATCAGCTGGGGTTTGCTGCTACCTGTAATAATTGTACCGTGGAATGAATGGTACAATAAAAAGGTAAGTGTTGTTGCACATAACTTTGAATAATTTTTTTGGCATTACTTTTATATAAAATAAAATCGCGAGAAACGAGTTTCTAAGGCAATTGCAATTTTTCATCCCAAAAGTTGGTTGAATTTGTCTTGAAAGATCAAATGCTTGAATATATAAATGAACATTCACTATTACAAACGAGTCAACATGGATTCAGAAGTGATCGTAGCGCAACATATCTTCTGGTTGGATTGACTAATAATATTCGAAATTGTGTCAGTGCTGGTTATTGCTGAGTTTTATTATCATTTGTTTTGGAAAAGGCATTTGACAGGATAAATCATACCCATTTTATCAGTAAAGTACATCGTTTCTTAAATTTCTCTTCCTTAGCTTGCAAATTATTTTTTTCTTACTAGTTCAACAGAAAATAGTATATCTTTTGTAAAATAGTTGTTTCCAGTCTTCTTCCAGTGAGTAGTGGTGTGCCACAAGGGTCTGTTCTTGGACACCTATTGTTCGTTATGATTTGCTGAGTTGTGTTAAAGGTAGGAATTGTATGTCATATGCATTTGCTGATGATATACAATTTTTTATGTAGTCCACCTTTAAGTCTTAATACGACATAAAGGAAATCTAAAGGTGAGAATACATAAAAC